ATGTGTATTTAGCTGGGGGCTTTGGCTAACCTGGGCTGTTGACGCCCTCGTGTCACCGAAACTGCTGTGAACGTGACCACAGCGCACCAAGGAATTGGCTGTTAGTAGATTCTGGTGAAGCAGGACGTGGGCCTCCCGAAATGTGCTGGCAGGGCTGTGTGCGGCCAGGGCCCCCCGAAATGCATGGGCGGGACCGTGCCTGGCCCCGGGCTCTCTGAAATGCGCCAGGGGGGCCGTGTGTGGCCTGCAGGCTGGCCACCCCCCCTCTAGCCCAAAGCTGGGATGTCGCAGAGGGAAGGGAAGGGACGGGTTGGGTTTTTAACCCCAGGCTTCCTGGTGTGTGGGGGGTATTAGAAAACCTGGGCTGAGAGGGGCAGGTTGGGGAGCTGATTTCATGGCGGTGGCACCAGCCTGAACCAATTTAGGGCCAAGTTCTCCTGCTGACACTCGTGTGAACCCAGAATAGCTCCGGGAGCCGCTCGGCTGCTGTAATTTGCTTTCGGTTGCTGACTCAGCCACTGGGGGCCTGGCCCCGTTGACTCCCAACTGGAGCGACGCTGATTCACGGCCGCTGGGGGCCTGGCCCCGTTTGCTCCCGCTCTGCGGTGCTGGACCGTGTGGGCAGCCCCGTGTAACCGACCCAGCCCCAAGCCAATCTCCGGGGGGTGGGCAGGGAGGGTTGAGCTGGATGGGGGAGCACCGGGGTGGGGGGGATTTTAGCTGTCTCCCAGCCAGCCACGCGGGCTCCGGGGGAAGTTTTCCGCCTGAGCGGGGATCAAGGTAACATTTAAGGCTTTCACTGAAAAAGCCAGAGCGGGGCTGGTGAGGGTCCATCCAGCTGGGATGGAGCTGTGGGGCCTCTCAGACACTCCGGGGCCGAGGGGAGAGGCTGCAGCCGCATCCCCCCCAGCGGAGAGCGCGGGGGGCTGGTGGGAAGTGTCTGCATCCTGCTTTGTTTGAGGATGAATCGTCTCCGCCATGAGGATGTCAGCGGTTTGGAGGGAGAAACTGAGGCACCAAGAGGGGGATGGACTTGCTGAGGTCAGACCGGGAGTCAGGGGTAGAGAACCCAGGAGTCCTGGCTCCCAGCCCCCCGGCTTTAACCACCAGACCCCGCTCTCCTCCCACAGCCAGGGATAGAACCCAGGAGTCCTGGCTCCCAGCCTCCCCCCCCTGTAACCCACTAGACCACCCCCCCTCGCAGCTGGGGATTGAACCCAGGAGTCCTGGCTCCCAACCCCCTGGCTCCAGGAGAACCCACTTCCTCGCTATGGGCCTCCAAGCACTTTGGGCAGCGGGGGGCAATGGAAGCAGCCCCCCGGCTGGGGCGTTAACCCCTCCCCTGTGGGGCTGACCCCTCGCTGCCCAGCGGATGCAGGCAAAGTGCACGGGGCCTTTATTGGATGGGGCGCGCCCCTCGGGCAGAGCGCGACCCTGAGCGGAACGCCGGGGTAGGGGGAACATACAAAATGGGGACACAGTGGGGGGCGTGAAGGAGGAAGGAAGAAAGTGTGGTGGGGGGGAAGGTCCGGTCGGTCACCACGAATCAGGCTCCCAAACACTGCTCCTGGTGAACCCAGGCGTCCGGGCCCATGTCTCTGGTGGGGGGGAGGGAGCCACTAGTCCAAATCTCTCCACTGGCCTCCATCCCCGCAGCGCTGGGCTCAGGCGTGTCCAGGAGCCGGCCCCCGTCTGTCGGGGGGCGCCCCCAGTCCAGGCAGCCTTCTTCCCCCCCCCCCCTGTTCCCGGGGGGGGGGTACTAGGGGGGGCCCTTGTCGGACAGGTAAGCGATGAGCGCGACCACGGCGCCAATGTAGGTGCAGACGCCCAGCAGGATGGAGAGCACGGCCAGCGCGAAGGTCCGACGCGACGCCGCCCGCGCCCCCGGGAAATCGCCCTTGGCCGAGGCCTTGTTGGTCTGGGCGGGAGGGGAGAGCAGGTTAGTGAGGGGGAAAGAACCCCCTGAGATCCCCCCCCCCCCCCCCATGGATACCCCCACCCCTGGCTGAATACCCTGAGACCCCCCGCGACAGATACCCCCATGGATGGGGGACCCCCCACCTCCCCTATGCATTA